ACTACATGTGTGTATTATCTAGTCTGTCTATTGTCTTTCACAAGCCTAAACAGATATTTCTCTCTTTTTACCAGCGTGAACCACCAGCTGACCTGCCACCTCATGAGAAGAGAGTCTCCCCTCCTGCATCTGAAACCGCCCTGGGACAAGCGTACAGACGAGGCCGGGCTGTGAGGGCCTCTCATTCTCAGGGGGACAGCAGGTATGAGCGCTTCTCCAGGAATCACCAGTGCACCTGCAACTCCATCACATTCCTGGCATACCACGCTGAGGGAGTCCATTTTAGCACAACACAGCTGGATAAGGTACTGGAACAAGGGGATCTGCTTAATATGTGGGCCAAGATGAAGTTCATTCAAGAGGGACGGTTCATATCTAACCACCTCAATGTAGAAGAGATTCCACATCAGATTCACACAGACAGACACACGTACAACAATGAGAAAGCAGACATCGGCTTAGGGTTTCTGAGGGCGGACGAAGGTAGCAGTGTAGGTTACCCCTTGCCACACGTCTTGAGTGTCTGTCTGAAGAAGTCGGCCATGCCTTACTCATGGTTGACCTGAGTGTTTTGACATCTTCCGTGATGGAAGAGGGAAGTACGGTTTCTTCGACTCTCTCACAAGAAGCTCCTTAGGTTTTCCCCTTTCTGCAGTGATGCTGACTTTCAGTAACCTGGGTCAGCTGGTCCAGCACCTGGACACGCTTTTTAAAGACAACAACCCAGTATGAATTTGTGCCTGTTTCATTTGAGCCAGTCACAAATGATAGCAATGAGCATCCAAGGGCTGCAGCTAGTGTTCCACCTGAGAACATTGATGTTCCCGCGCAGAGAACACTGCTAAACAGGTCTCGGCTGAGCACGCACACACCAGCACCGTCTGTCACACTGCACAATGCTAAATGTTTTAGTGCATAACCATTAGTATTAACATTTAGTGCATAGAACAAACTGAACAAATTCTTACAGGAACTCTTATTTAATAAAAACAAAACTGTAAACATACCAGATGTTATAGTTTGTACCTCAGGATTTTGTTTATCAAACCATGTACTTGAGCTGAGGCCTGGTCTGGACTGATCTTCATC